AATATTTAAAAACAAGCTGCTGATAATTTCACATTTTACTTGTGAGCAACGGCACATTTAAATCTTACAAATATAGTTATTTGGCTTATATCGTGATAGATATCGTTATCGCCTGAAATGAAAAAAACATATCGTGATATGAAAAAATCTCATATCGCCCAGCTCTACAAACAATATTCCTTTTTCCTTGCAAACTCAAGAAAGGTTTGCGTGGGGGGCCTACGGAGGGACCGGAAATGCTTTCTGTAAGCTTCAGGCACTAATTCATATGCTTTGAGAATGGCACTCAGTACCCTATCATACACTAAACTGTCCTTAACGGTGAGAGCCGCACACACCCCCTGCGCCTTACCCACCAGTTTACACTGCCTCAGCAGAGGCCAAACCTCTTTAGGCCAGTGCAAGGCTATGGCAATATGTTCAAATGCATTAAAATATGCCTCTAATTCTGTTTCATTCTTACCCACATCAAATCAAATCAAAATCAAATCAAATCAAATCAAATCAAATCACTTTTATTGTCACATCACATGTGCAGGCACACTGGCACAGCACATGCGAGTGAAATTCTTCTGTGCGAGCCCCACAAGCAACAGAGATGTGCAAACACAACAACACAAACGAGCAAAATACAAGAATGGCCAACCTGAAACTAATAAATATATGTACAATATATAATAGTGTATGCATTTGTATGCACAAATCCTGGAGGGGCAAGCAAAAAATGAATAAACTTGAAACAGCTGAGTTGAAAAACGAAAAGCATCAGGCTCTCTGAGGCCAAAATAACAAACAAAAACACTCCCCCTTCCTATAAACAAAACACGTGGTATAACTTCCCTCAAGAAAAAAAAAAATACAATACCTGACGTCTCTGGCTGTCCACAAAACAGGAGAAAACTTTGGTCAAACAAAAATGGCGGAGAACCCCTACCAGCCTACACTGCTCTCTCTCACTATCACAGTATTCCAAACGTAGAAAGAAAACAGAAGCGCTATACACACACGGCGCTCAGAGCCTCCTATGGCTAACAAGCCATAACGCTACTCAGCCGCGGCACCTGGAACTTCAAAGACAGGAAAAGGGAGAGGGGAGAGAGAGGGAGAGAAAGAGAAAGAAGAAAAGAAAAACACAGCATTCTCAAACAGGGAGAACCTTCTAGCAACCCATGACCGTAACAATTGGCATCCAGTAAAAAGTGACCATTATCCTTTTGGTGTTGACTCTTAACAACTGACCCTTGTCCTGGTAAGACACCAACTAAAGAGAAACACTAACAAATGGAACAGCACTGTCACCTCTTATGTAGTAGGTTTATCAGACAAATTTTCTCCAATCACTATATCCCAGTGGACCTCAGACCCAGCCACACACTCAGACAAAAACTGGTTTATCAAAAGGACAAAACTCCCAAACACAAACTAAACAACGTAGTGTATGCTGTGCAGTGAGGAGTGCTCAGACCTCTTCACTGGAGAAACCAAACAGCCCCTCCATAAACACATAGCACAACAGAAGGGCAACATCGACAGGAAAAGACTAAGCTTAACATTTGAACCTAAAGGATAAAGGTCACTCTTTTGATGATGCTAATGTTCACATTTTGGACAGAGAAGACAAAGAGTTTGTAAGAGCAGTGAAACAGGATTTATGTGCACTGTGTCTAAAACTCATTGAACAGAGGGAGTGGCTTAAAACTGTCTGCCACATACAATGCAGTTTTGAGATCAAGGTTCAAGGTTCTTTATTTGTCACATGCATAGTTATACAAGTATAACACACAGTGAAATGTAGCCTGACACGCTCCTCGACAGATCCCTTCCCAGGTGCCTCAATTCCCACTCACATCTTGTGTCACGTGACCTCAATAGGTAATATGATAGGGAGACAACGTCTCACAGTGGTTTCACCCAAAACCTTTAGTGCTAATAACCCATGCTGTTTTTTATACCTTGACTTATGTGATGAGGGGCATGAGAGGGTCTATGAACCACTTAAGGGACAGCTCCCACTGAGGTTTAAATAGATACATGGGACTCCACCATTTTGTTTTACAAGAGAAGCATATGGGACGTGAGGTGAAACGTCTTTGCGAAACTTAAAGGAGCCTAGTCACTCCCTTTCAAGCTCCTTAGGTCTCGATGCATGGTAAGGCGCTTGTCTTGATGCCAGTAGCTTCTATCTTCTCCTTTGGCCAGCTTATTATCCTTGCAGGGTCTCTGATGACTAGCAGGATGTAGGTGTTGAATGTTAATCTTCCTGACCCCTCAGCATTTGCTTTACTCTCTGCAGGTATTTGGTGGTCGTGGTTTTCCTTGCAACCCCTTCGTGGATCCTATTTGCCTTTGGGATTCCAAGGTACAAGTAGATGTCCTCAGTGTCTGCTATGTTGCCTTCTAGTAGTGCAGTCCCTTCCATTTTGACTACCTTTCTTCTCTTGGTTACCATCCGACTAAACTTCTCCAGTCCAAATGACATTCCAATATCATTGCTACAGATCCATCCATGTAGAGGAGGTGGCGAATTTTTGATCCATTCTGACGTTAGTATCCACTATTGTTAATGATCTGACTAATGATCTGGGGTTCACATCTACAGGGAGTGCAGAATTATTAGGCAAGTTGTATTTTTGAGGAATAGTTTTATTATTAAACAACAACCATGTTCTCAATGAACCCAAAAAAACTCATTAATATCAAAGCTGAATGTTTTTGGAAGTAGTTTTTAGTTTGTTTTTAGTTTTAGCTATTTTAGGGGGATATCTGTGTGTGCAGGTGAC